AACTGCCAGTATATATTTTTTTCCTTAAACCTTTCTAACTTTGGCTATCAAATGCAATAATAAATTGTATTCCCTGTTGTTCTTGTTCAGGGACTGTGCCTAATCCTGGAATTACTGGCATCTGTATATAATTTCAATGGTAAATTACAGCTGGAATACGCTAACCCCAAAGTGTGAGTAAGAATTTTTCTAAATGATTGGAAGCTTCTTGGCACTTTATAGTTGATTTATAGTAATTAGCTTAGTCTTCATTCTCTTTTGATAGTTTGTGTAAAATTTGTGCTATTTTCTTAGCACCAGAGCTGATTGTTTTCTCAACAGAAGAATGGTCTTTCTGGTGAAAATTAGATTTCAACTAAACCTCATTTTATGTTAATTGCCTTCCATCATTGACAACTTCCTCTTCTTCTCCCCCCCGCCAGTATTAGCAGAGGAATGATGGAAACCTGGAATACCAATTTTTCATTAACATTTCCATGGGGAAGATGTAATTTCCTGACCCGCTCCAAAATAATTTAAATTTCAAAACTCTTTTAACTGCTAATTTGACCAAAAAGGTAATAAATAATATAAATAAATTAATGGCTAAAATTTATTATCTCATTTTAGATATCTTCTGCACAGTTCTCTAACAATGCATTCTGTGATTGCCCAGCAAGAGATTAAGCACAAGAAATACAAGAGTGTAACTCGGAGCAAAATTTGTGCTACTTACCTCTATTGCCAGTAAATGAGATTAGAGTAATTGTTTATATATCTGTTAAAAGCTACTCTCCTTGAAAACAATAATGAATAATGACTTTGTCATTTGGAGGATGGTGGGAAACCTGTAAAGAAGTTACAAATTTACTTTATTTCTCAAAACAGATGGCTTTCAGGGCTTATGCCTATGACATGGCTGTCCAAGGAAAAGTAAAATTACAGCTTTATTTAGACAAGGGCTAACATTTTAAATAGTAATCTAGTATTTACACACAACAGGGAATTTGGCCTTTGACTGCCGTATTTTGTATTGTTTTGTTTGTTTGTTTAATAGTAATTATAGGATAGCTTTGTTCACCATTGGAGACACATGTTTTCATAATTCTGTGCTGCTAACTGGGAGCAGGATGAAAAAACTGGGCCACAGGGCAGATGAATGAGACTTTCATTGGCTTCATTAGGAATATCACATGTTTCACTGAGAAACCCTAATGAAATTCGGGAAAACTTTTCCAAACCGCCTTCCTCCTTGGAGATGCCTAAATTCTGGAAGTTTGGAAAGCTTCCGAAACTTCTCAATAAATGATATTTTGTAAGTGTTAACTAGAATCTGAGGAATAACAGTCAGAAGAAATAGAAACTAGAAGCTATTTTTAGAAGATGATCCTTATTGTATCTTTATACGTAAAGGATATATGATTCTATACACGAAGATGTGGTGCTTAGAGACATGGTTTAGTGGTGGACTAGGCAGTGGTAGGTTAGCGGTTGGACTTGATGATCTTTAAGGTCTTTTCCAACCTAAATGATTCTATGATTCTATGATTCAGCACAAAATCAAGCATGGCTAATCATAAGTGAATTAAGAGAGTCAATGAATTCCACAATTCTGTATTTCACTAAAAGGACTAATCAGATTTACTTTACATTAGTAAACAAATGCTGTATGTAGGACTCCTTATTTGGTTATGCGACTACTGACCACCAGCATGTCTGATAAATATAATAAATTCCTAAAGATATGAGTAGTTAAAAAGTCCCCAAAATGTAAAATATTACTTTTATAATTACAAAAACATATTTGTCTCATTTACTTAAGGAAAAAAAAAATCTTAATCCTGTTCAATATTGAAATATTAACCATGAATTAACATTTTAAAAGAATCAATGAAATTATTTTCTCAAACAAAACTACAGAACAGTTTTTGCCTTTACTGAATTCTCTGATGTTTCACTGTTACTCTTTTTTTTTTTCCCTTTAAGTACATGGTAAAGTGTTACTAAAATATTATTTAAGTTATAAACAACCAACCAAAAAAAGCTTTATTTTTTTTAAATGTAACAAACTTTTTTGATTTTTCCTGCTACCCTGAAGAATAACTCGCTGCATGTTTCCAGACAAGGTTGGTTGCAGTATTTTACTCGGAGGCTGGCATATCTGATGTTATTTCTCCTCAGAGTACTGTGATCTCATTGATCAAAATATGGCAACTAACCACATGAGGCAACAGGAAGACTTGTATGAAGTATATTCATGCCATGGTTCCCTGGTATTAAAGAATGTCTTTATAGAACTTGAATATAAACTGTCTATGAGGAAACCACATGAGGCAACAAAAAGACTTGTATGAAGTATATTCATGCCATGGTTCCCTGGTTAAAGAATGTCTTTATAGAACTTGAATATAAACAGTCTATGAGGAATAATATGCTAAATATAATATTGCTTAGGAATCACAGTATTCAATTAAATCCCTGATCTTTTGTGCCAAATCATAGAAACTGATAAACAAACTTTTTTTTCCAGATGGGCATATTAGATCTTTTCCCAGCTGCTGTTGACTGGTAAAATAGTTTTCAAAAATCAATATGGCACATGAGTATATTCCTTTATCCAACTATACATCAAGAAATTATTCTGTAAAAGGGACAATATCATCCATGCAAAACTCTCCTTTGGCTCACACAAAGGCATTAAAATGGTGAAAAATTATGTCTAGAAAACATACGGAACTTTCATTGAATACTACAAAATTGTTGCATTTCACAATTTGTTTATATTTTCAGAAATAAAAAGGAGGAAACATAAGTACAGCAATTACCAATAGCTCACTGGGTTTTTCAAAATATAAGTTCACACAGAAACAGACATATTTTATACACATCTAGCACAACACAGAAATGAAAAATGCTGATACACCACATGTTCAGTGGCCCATCCAAAGTGGGACAGTTCAAAGAAAATTCCCATTTGAGAACTTCTATTGCAAAGTGGTCCCCAAAGAAGTAAGGGAAAAGAAACGCAATAGTTCTTCTCCAGAAGTGAAATGAGGGAGGTATAGAGAAATGGGACATCACAAGTGGCCATGCTTAACTTTTCTCAGGAATGAATACTTTCAAAACTTTTTTCTGGATAGGTTCCCTTTAGGTGAAATTAGTATAAGTTGTATTGATGGACACAGACATATTTCTACAGATAGTCCAATTTCAGTATTAGCTAGAACACTACTAACAGTTATTAGCAAAATTATTAAAAGGCTTTCTTATTATGGGTTGTTGCAAACATGTATGGTGACTAGAATTACTTTATACTTTTCTGCAGCCTATGACATGGGCTGCCTTCAAGCAGAGGGTCCTAAAAGCAACATCAGGTCCCCTACAGAGCAGTGCGCTCTCAGACTCACAACTTGGTAGGCCTGCCTTATATGTGAGGAACAGAGTCTACAAGCCCCATAGAACCTAATTAAAAAAAAGTTTTGCATAACATTAAGATCCCAAATTTTGCAGCAGACTTGGAATCTGGCACAGATAGCTCTCCTGGAGCTGCAGATCCTGACACCACCAGAAAGAAACATAAATTGCAAGTAAGTTTTGGGTATTTGCTGAAAACAAACAAACCTGCCTACTCTCCCTAACAAAGTATTGCAGGTTTCTTGACCAGCAGGTCCTAGACTCAGGCTTTCAGCTTATTACCTGAACCACAAGACCCAGCCTCAATCCTACCCTTTTTACCTTGCCAGTTCCATTCCAACACTAACTAATGTTGGGGAATTTTTATCATACCCCTTGAGGCAAATTAAACATGTTTGTGCTTAAATATAAAAAGATTTAATGAACAATGGATTGGGCAGTCCTACCTTCATAAGCACCTCTACAAGGAGTCTGCAAAGATGCAACATGAGACAATTCCTTATATACAATTGCACCAGCACTGATCATGTGAGCATCGTCATGGGGCACCTTAACCCAGTGTTCAGTTCATCCCCCAGCATCAGCTCTGTTTACCAAAAGTGGCCCCTAAGCACTCACATTCCAGGATGGATTGCTACAAGACAATGCTGCGACATTTCTTATCTCATTACCAAGGGAAACCTCACTCCCTTACATGGAGTCCTTCTGTCTCTGGCATTCCTGTTTCCAGCAAGTTTAAACCATTCTGCAGTTGGGCCTTCTTGCCCTCCATGCCAGATCATTCCTTGGTCATGAATTACTGTTGCTGAGCAGTTACAATTTGAATTTCCCCTTCACTAACTACATTGTCAGATTTGTGTTCCCAGCTCACAGTTGCCTACCAGGTCTCACATCTCCCTTCTCATTCTCAAAACCAGCCGCCTTTTCCATTTTACATTATCAGGTTTTTTTCCCCTGTCAGATCTTCTTTACCTCTTTAGGTCTAATTAGAATTCTTAGCTTTATCTACTCCTTCTCCTAAATTGATTCAGTTTTTGTCCTCTGTGCATTTCTTACTAGAAAGTTTCCATAACAGTACAAAAGACACAGATTTATCCTCCACGGTAATTATTTTGTCTTAAGAGCTCAGAGGAACTAGGAACAACATGAGAGAAGAATTAGATTCAGCCTTATTTCATCCTTAACTCCTTCTCTTGGTGCTGTGTAGATAAAAACCTGCTGAATTGCTCTGTGAGGCTGCTTTCCTGCAAGTGCAGTTTGTTGAGACTGAAGAGGTCCAAAATGTGGATATGTGATAAATAATCAAACCCGAAGTTTACCACAACTGACTGAGCATTTTTGTTTTGTTCTGGTTTTAAGTTTCATTACTGAAAATGGCTAACCTACTTTATCTGAAGTTTCCCAAAGTGCAAAGTGAGAAAATATGTCAGGCAAAACTTCAGGCCAAACAGTCTAAATTGGAAGCAACAGAAAAGACGGTCTTAAAGTGAAAGAATTTAAGCAACGAGAACAAGCAGTACTAAAGAAGACTGCCTGTAATGCATACTTAATAATATTGTAGTAGTATATAATACTTGGAAATCGTGTTATCTTGGCAACTCATTTACCTTGAATTCTTCAACAATAATACTCAAGGCTTCATGTCCAGCTTTTCTCATGTCTTCCAACTCCTGCTTATGCTTTTCCTGTACAAAAACATAGAAAGATTATATACAACATAGGCACCCAACATAACAATTTTAATTAGGAGAAAAAAGACCAATTATTTTTCCTCATTTTTTGTATCTTTCATGAAGAAATGCACATATCTTGACTCTTCAGATATTATATATATGCTCAATTCAAGTTGGTCCTAGTATTAAACTTATTTATCTTTATTTCTTAATTTTACTTTATTAGTCCCCAGATAATTCTAAATGGTTCTCTAATTTTTTTTTTTTTAATTTTCTTTGTTACTATGACTTTTCTGGTTTCTTGGTGCACCTGTGGATGGCAGGACTTCCAAATCACTCTCTTAGTAAATGTTATTTACTGTTGATATTAATTAAAATGTTGAACTGGACTAGTATCAAATTCAGCTTCCTCAGAAGAGCACACCCTTCTCCTACTCATTACATAGCTCCTTTTTTATCTTTTTTTATTCTTAAGATTCCCAGGAAAGTGTTCTTGCATAAGACATCCTGAATATGTTTTTCAAATAAAGTTCTATTGTTTACTTTTTATTTTATTCACAGTATTATGTAAAAATATGTGGACAGGAACATTCTAATATTTTTGCCTTTACATAAAAATGCTTGCCTGTGGTTTGCTATCTGAGTCTGCAATGTGAACACCTCATTAGATTCTCATTAGCATTTCACACTTATCAATGAGCAGCACCACTTTTTCAAATCACCAATTAGAAAGAAGATGAAGAACTTTCCCTCTTCCCTCATTCTTTGCTTCAGGGATCTGTTCTTAAATGAACTAGTACAGCAGGTCATAGGTGCTTTAAATCACCTTGGAAAACTGGTGCAGAAAGCAGAAAGGCATTCATCACAAACCTTACCTTGCAGTGATTACAGGACAAAACCATTCACAACTTACACTACATATTTATTGCTTTTTGGATGGGATTCAAGTTGAAATTAATTAATACAATTCTATGATTCTATGATCTGTATGTTTCAAATAAGCAAAACCCAGCGTCTAACAAAGCACGTTCACTTTTATCATGAAAGGCCACATAACACCATTAAAAATAAATTAATTGGTCTGTAACTCTATATTTTATTAGAGACTTCTGCTCTGCCATTCAGTTCCTTTCTCCTGAAAGGGCCATCTTAGCAAAAAGTTTGAAATTATAGCTATACAAACTTCTTATCGTTGGCCCAAATATAATGAGACATTCAGATTCTCTTGAATAGAACTGGTTTTTTTTTGTGAAGCCCTACAAGAACAACTGATATGAAGCAGGAGAATTGAAGATGGAAATATTTTGAAGTGTAAATAAACGACTAGATCAGAGAACAATGCACAACATCTGGGTACATTAGTTTAATCACATTGTGATGCATAGGTATCATTGACACCACAAACTAGCTAAACTCAGATGTTATATATATGTTAATAAAAAAAATTGCTGAGTCAGAAATATTTTTACAGTACAAAAACTACAGAACTGGTATAAGGGGGAAAAATGTGATCCAGTGTTTAACTCCAAAACTTCACAAATCATTAACAAGGGGGGGGGGGGGGGGGGGGGATAAGGAAAAAAAAAGTAATTGCTACAGTAGCATATCCTGGATTCACAAATATGAAAAGAGAATTATACAGAAAGAGGAAGTTAATGGTCATTAATTATTCTAGCTGAAAAAACCCAAAACAACAAAACCAAAACTGAAGACAAAGCATTCCGTGTTGAGGAAAGTCTTTAAATGAGAAGAGTTAAAACAGTAAAATTTCCATCCAAGATCTGTCAGAACTACCTTGAACAATGAGACATAATGAATCAAGTGTGTTGACCAAGGAAGTAACATGTTTCATTCTGGTAAAAAGTACAGTGCCTCTCACTAGCATTACCAGGCAAATCAAGATACAAAGCAAAAAGTGCAGTTTGTCCGCTTACAATACATTTCTCAAGTTTTTCAGAATTGGTGACTTGTTCAAAGTCATATACTAAATGCGAATTGATAACACAAGTTGAAGCATCAACACCGTATAACTACCAACATGAAGATTTCATCCAACACATTTTAGAGTACTTACTTTCTTAGAATATTTCCTAAAGTAAAGGAAGAGAGTCATTAGTAAAGAACTAATAATAGTAAGGCATTGGTTTTGCTTGGGTCAGGACTAGCAATCAATTTCTACAACAGAAGTAGAAGAGAGAATGGAAGGGCATTATTACAAGCACACAGACGAAAAGTTTAAGGTCATATTGCAATGCTCCCTCCAAGTAAGGGCTTCATCCAGTCTGACGAACACTACACTGCCTTTTTTCTGTGCCTATTTGCAAGATTTTTCAGCTAAGACAGCAGGCCTGCAAGTTTATTTCTTTTAACTTGCAAGGGTAAATTTTAATTCTTTTGAGGATGGCCAGCCTTTTCTTCTGAAAGTCTGTAAAATACTGTTTCAAATTCTTATAGATACATCACTCAAATGCGTGCTTGGTCCTTGTAATATCTGATAAGGAGAAGACCCAAAGTCACTATAAGTAACACATTTTGGAAGTGTATGCATTGATTTACTGTCTAACAATGAAGATACATCAAAGCTCCTGAGTTTCATGATTTGGCTATGAACACAACAGAAACATTCCAAGAACAGCAGCATACTCATTTGATGAACAATGGTCATGTCAGTTCACAAATCCTCAATAAAATGTGTGCTTTCCATAGGAAAATGAGTTTAATGAATTGACATAACTACTCTTAAAATTATTACTCTGCTTGTAAGAAAGAAAAGGGAAGCTCTATGAAAAGTTCTGAATGGTGTAGACCTGAAATTAAAATGTAATATTCGGATTTCCTGACAAAGAGAGAAGAATTTTGTGGTTTTTGGCTCTTGTAGAATTCTCCTGCATGGTTTGCATGACTTTGGAGAGGTTTTTAAAGAACGCTGTTGTTTCCTTCCTTTATTTAATAAATGCTTTTAAGAAATGAATCAACATGAGTTTGAGAAGTTTGAAATTTAAGTAAAATCATCTTCAGAAGACTTTTACCCCCTCCCCTTCTGCCTTGTGATGGACAGAATCTCACATCAGAACACTGACAGTAATTAAACTTGGGAAGACAGAGGATTTTATTTTATTTTATTTTATTTTATTATAAAAATCTTGATGATCATTCCAGACAGCATGAGGCATTCTGTGTGGACACAGTATGAAAGTAGCAAGCAGGCAATTCATTGCTCAATGGTTATCAATGTTTCAGTTTTTTCCGTTTTGTGACTCTCATAGGAGGAAACATGTCATTGCAAACAATTTATGCATAAGAATACATGCTTTAATGCTACCAAATGTATGGGCCTTCAGAAATATATAAAATAAAACCTGAATGATAAGGATGAGAAAATGGGATCGAACTTTATAAGTTTTCTTACAATCTAAAATCCAAGTGACTCCAGACTCTCCTTTTCTCTTGTTAAGTGCCTGTGAATCAAACCACTGTAGAGGCAGATGGATCCAAATGCCTGGTGAGCTTCCCAGAGGTGCGGTTCCCAAGGACACTGCTGGGCAGAGAAGCATTCTGAAGCAGCTGTGACAGCAGGAAAGGTTACTGACCACCAGCCATCCAGCTGCTTGTCACTGCCTGCCAATGCATTAGCACTTCTTTTAGATCTTTTAGCTGATTTGCTTCCTAAATCATTTCAGTCTAAGTGAGCCATTGTTAGCACAAACAGTTTAAACAGGGTTCTTTGTTAACATCCAACATTTCGACAGAAATGCAGGGCATGTGTTTTCACATACTGTGAAGTGCAAGGGTAACACATAGTACTCTGTTGAGAGGTAAGATCTGCAATAAGAGGATTTATGAGATCTGATGGGGGAAGAAGAGAGAGTAAAGACCTCAAACTTATTTTATTATATTCACTTACCCTTAAGTTGATATATTTTTCTGCTAACTTTTTAAAAGGCAGACTGTCTTGAATTGTTGGGGAAGAGCGTATGCCACCCACAGACTCTGCACAGATTCCCTACTAACCTTCCACTCTTGGCATGCCTGCACGTCACACATATTGCAAGAGCAGTAAGTGGAAGCATATACAAGAAGGGAAGAAAAAGGTACTCGCTGTCTCACTTTCTTCTCATCTAATTCAAAGCAACTGCAATTCTTCTCATTATCAAAAACGGATGCTCAGAAAAATTATTTTGTGTCAGTGCTCCTAACACATATCAAAAACAGCATTAAAAAGAGACTTGATACTGCAAATTAGGGCCAAACACAGCCACCTGAAAAGGAAGCAAATGGCTACATATCAAAGTACCTTTTGATAATAATCAGCCAACAACAGTAAACACCATAATAATTTCACAATCCCAGTTCTACAGTGGGCATAACTAACACCAAAAAAATCCAAAGTTTTGAAAATAACTGAAGAAATTAATTTATGTCATACCTATTGAATTTATGACATTTTCTCCAGAAGTATTTTTTTCCTCCACTGATTTTTCTCTTGTGATCAGAGGAAAAGAAATTTAATTTAATTCTTCCTCTTTTTTCATTAGGTTATCAATAATCACAATTTATAACATTAAAAAAGATCAGAGCAGTAATACACAGATAAAGCAAAAGCCAGTACTGCAAAGAAGCACTATGAGATCACATTTACATGTGGGAAAAAATGATAGAAGAAATAAAATCAATTCAGGAAAAGACCCCAAATTTTTGCCCACTTTCACAAATAATCAAATATGATCCATAAAATAAAATCCTATATTTTGGGGTCAACTGATAGTATGAGCTTTTTACATTACTTATTCATAAACCCTGTTTAAAAAAAAGCCAGTAAAAGCATACCAATAAAAGGGTAAGTTAAAACAAAGCACTCATGTTTTAACTGTAGAAATGTTTCTGTGATACCTGTTAAGGGCTGTATATTACTATACATGATGTGCAAGCCAGTTATCTGAGTTGATGCTGACTGCCTATCCTCTGTAAGGCTGTGGTATCTTCAGAATCAGCTGCAAGTCTGAGCCAACATC